CCGCTCAGCGGCTCGGAGGCTCGGGTGGGTTCCGAAGCGGCCAGCTCCTCGTCAGACCTCGGGGGGGGTGGTTCAATGACACGGACGGCAATGATTCAGAAACGATCGGAAGAATGGAAGGAGCAAAACATGCATTGGGATGAGAGAAGAAACCAGTGAGAAATGAGGAACACAACATCCGATGATGACAGAAGAAACTGGGAAGAACGAGGAGAATGGAATCCAGTGGAGCTGCGACGGAAAACACGTTTCCACCGTACCAGTAGAAAACCGCGGAAAACAGGGCATTGAGTGGGGAGTGGCGGGTGGATACATCCGCATTGACATGCGTCTACCCAATGAACCGGACAGTTACAAGCTGGTGGGGAGGTTCACCAGGTTCTCTGCATACCAATTCTTATCAAATTCTCATCGCCTTTGGGTGGGATTCCTTGCTTTCACCAGCAAAAAGGGTGCTCTATCCCCATCAACCTCCTCTCCCCCTCCAAACACGCCTCCGCGGGTTCCATGGAAAAATACAAACCTCCGAGCCCCTCCGAGTTTTCCGAGACGCATCAAGCAAAGCTCCGGCTCCGGCCATGGCACTTGAATGACCCGTTCACTGGGGGGGGGCGCCACCCGTTCACTGGCTCAAACGGCTGACAGATGCGAGGTTGAGAGAGGGTCGGTCCTCAGCAAGATCTGAACGCGAAGAATGCGAAGACTTCAAGAAAAGATCGAGTCGTCCAAATGCATCTTCTGGATTTAGACAACCATGATCAGTGAATTCATGGGTCAGCCAGTCATCCTTATGATGTTCTTCGACAACGAGTTGCTATGGGACTTGCTAAGACCTAAGGACTTTTGGGCAGCACCTGAAACACGAAGCTGGAGTCCTTTTCACCAGTTCTCGCTGCGTCGAAGAGACTTCGGAACCCGGAACTGGGCGGGAGACCGCAGGCGACCGCAGGTCTACATGTCAATTGGCCGCTGGAGGCATTGAATCTTCTCCAGGATGTCTGGTGCGAGTTCAATTTCACACGCATGCAGGACCTAAGAAGTTGGTCAGGTCCTTTGATAGATCCTTCCACGAGCTGCTCAACACCCCAAGGAAGGTGGATCTAAGCACCAAGTCATCGGATCCTTCGATGATCCTTCCACCTTCTAAGCGCCCTCAGCACCGCCCACATGATCTGCTCGTTGGCGTCCGGTGCCACTGAGGCGAAGAGCGAACCGGACATGGTGTCCAGGGCCGGGTTGGATCGCGAACCCTGCTGGCTGGGTGGGGTGCGAGTGCGACTCCGCCGTCGAGCTGTTTGAAGCCTCCTCCCCCCCACCGTGGTCGGACTTTTTGCGAAGGAGTCTACGAAGGCGGCCGAGCAGGAGATCGCGCGGGCGGCCGGGCAGGAGATCGCGAAGGCGACCGAGGCTTGAATGGGCGATGGCGATCTTTGAGAGCAGATCCCAGGGCGATGGGTGGTGTTTTGGGCGGCGGATCTTGAGGCGGATCCATGGAAGGCTTGAGGAGGAGACCTCGCTCGATGCCTGGCAAGCCACCCATGCACCAATAGTAGTGTTCTGACACGTTTCTCAGGATGATTCCAATCCGTTTTGCTAGGATCAGGAAAGCCACATTCGTCATGCGGCTTTGTCGTCACTTTCCAACCTGGATCCACAACTAGGTCTCTGTAGGCCTTTCAACTGAAATGCATGTAGTCCTTCTGTTAGACTCTGTCCCTCTTGCCCTGAAGCTACTCTTCAAAACGCACTGCGGCTGCCTCATCTATCACTGACTTCTTCGGCCAAAGTCTCCTTGGCATTCGGATGCTCAAAATAAGACATAATAGTTCTGGGTGAGGAGGCTGGTTTTTCTCGGTCCCTAGGGATCGGTGGTCTGGAAATGATCGGAGGTCCCTCTCAGAAGTACCCAAGGACGGACCAACCACCCTGTGAATTGTCAACAAGAACTTACAAGAACTGATGCCCTTGCATTTCCTGATGTCTTTTGTTGTTGAATTTGGTTGACCTATATGAACTCCATTCTGGGAAAGCAACGGTTCGTCCCAGGCCACACATACGCTCAAAACACACCGACCAACCCTCGTGCTCACGCCGGTTCGCTCCACTTCGGCGTACTTCGTGCGTCTTTTTCGTTCATTGTCTTCTTGCTGGGGAGCAAACTGAGCTAGCATTGATGTCTTTTTTCATACACTTCACCACAGTTGTGCAAAGTAGATTTCACATCCCAAACGGTTTGAACAGGTCCAATGGTTGCTATACGGCTATGAGCTGATCAAACAATCTCCAGTTAAGCGCGCTGCGGCGTTTGAGGCACCATCGGAAACGAGGAATCACCCAGAGCCAACAACTTACATGTAGCAAAACAGACAACTCTCACAACTGGTGCACAACTCTTGACATTGGGCTAGCCGCAACACTCATTGGTTGCCAGGGTGTACGTTAACAGGGGCCAGCCACAACTCCAACAAGACATATAGATTGATCCTATGGAGTCAGGGATACAGACTCGCCGCCGCCGAATGGATTTGAAAGTGATGGACCTTGATCACGCCGGGTAGAACGTGAAATCCAGAGAAGATTGGTGACTTGTAGTTGCAGTCTCTAACCACAAAAAAAAAATCGGGATTTAGACCTCGGCCAGGCCTCCCAACGCGCTTCTCAAAGATTCAGTTGTGGATGCTCGTGGTGATCAGCTCCTCCTACGTGGCCCAGTCGTGAAACGATTCCACACCAAAATTGATTTGTTCAGGAAAGCAAAGAGATCCCATTCTGATCATTCATCAGAACTCCAGGAACTACAGGAATCATCTGTGATTCTCCAGATCATCATCGATGGCGTCCTTTCAATCCCGAAAAACCAAGCGAATGATCGCTGAGGCGCTGAGGCTTCGTGGAGCTTGTGAGACAGATTCTTCATCGACTTCATCGTTACTGTAAGACGACCCCAATCGATATTGCGGTCAAACTGGTGTAAAGGAATTTGTGAAGATGTATGGCGTAAAGTGCCCTAGTTCACAGACAATCCCAAATGAGCACAAGTCCAACACCCTTGACACACGCATTGGAAAAAAAAAGTAAGATGTGCGTGCCCTGTCCGATCAAGTAACTTATCCAAATTATATATGTTTTTAAGTGTTTTATATGTCTCTAGCACCGAATGTCCCGAAGAAGTCTACCACCTCTTCACCTCTCCAACCACTTCGTTTCTTTCCGTTCGTCCACTTCGGCTGTGCCGTCGAGCCTTGTGTCGCTGCTCCGCTCCGCTGCAGGCGAGAGAGGTGCAGACCGGTGCAGATGACCGACTGAGCATGATGACCTGACTCGGCCAATGGAAGGATTCCAAGGGACTCCCTAAAGACCAGGCAGAATAGTGGTAACCACTGTACAGTAACCACTCAACATACTCTCGATATCAATCTATCTTACATCATATCATATTGATATCAATAATGGAACACCAAAGCATTGGTGGGCTTCCACCCTGAAGATCCCTGCAGAAGGATTCACCAAGAGTGAATGCTCCTAGTGTCTCCTGCTCATCAACCGAATCGCAACAGAAATCCAAACAAATCCAAATCACAACCACTTCACCCAGGCCTTCACTCAGCCTCCGTCGCTCCAGCGCGGCGCGGCGCTCAGACGTGGTGCTCGTCTTCCTGCTCCGAGCTCGGCCAGCCTGGCTTCGCCTGGGCGGTGTGCGGCGCAGGGCGCGGGGGTACGTGTGCTTGGGGTTGGTGGATTTATCAGTTGACGTTTCGTGGGGAGATACAGTTCCATCCATGGAGTGGATGAAAAGTGGATACAGCAGTTGATCCAAGGAGGATCTCTGCAGTTGATGTGTTTCGTGGCGAGGATCCATAAGGATCCTCTACTTCGTGGATCCTCCAAGATTCATTCATGCCAGATTCAGATCCATGAGGATCTATGAGGATCCTGTGAAAAAACATGATTGGGGAGGTCGACCACCATATCGGTGGGTTCCTAGAAATCCTAGCAATGATTGATGGAGCTCACCGTGGCTGCGTGATGAGGAACCTGTCCAGAGAACATACCTTCTGAGCCGCCAATGTCTCAAGGCAATCGTCCCCCTTCACAGGTTCGTGTTGATCCGTTTTGATGCGCGTTTGGTGTGAGCACATGACGGGCAAATCCGGGCAAATGCTGAGGTTTCTGCTTGCTTTTAGCTCTGCAATCTGCCATGGCCTGGAGCACGCGCTCATCTGAAAGCTGCCCACTCCATGAAGACATGTAGAACTTCTGAGACTTCCTACGGTCCTACAGGTGGTAGGAGGGATCAATCTGAGAGATGCCAGACATTGCAACTATATATTCTTCAGAAGAAACATCCTTGACGTCATTCTTCGGGTCCAAAAGCTGGGCTCACATCCCTGTTCTCTCTTCGCATTTGGCCAATGTGCTTCCTCGCCCCTCCTCCAAAGAAAAAACAAAGACTGTAAACGAAATATAGCTCAGCTCGAAGAAACGCCCCCGGGGTGCTGACCCGATCCCAGCCGCTTCCAAGCGAACCAGCAATTCACTCGCCTCCAGGGGACCAGCTGCGGGAGAATCCAACAAGAAAAGCCGGTCCAGTTGAACTTGTGTGAACTTGTGCGAACTTGTCCTTCTTATTGAGATTCAAGCGGAATCTCCTTTAAACAAATCCACAACTTCATTTCTGTGAGGTCTTTGTTTTGTCCTGTCTTGTTATTGATATCAATCCGTTGTGTTCAAAGCAAAGGGAAGGCCTCGATGTTTCTGGAATTCTCAAGGAAAACAGATCTCCATTTTGCTTTCACCAGTTTGCTTTCAGTGGTTGTTTTGGTGCAAGTAGAGGTGAAGAATCTCGCTGAACATCCAGTAAGCCAGCAGAACTACGCAGAACGGAAGCTTCTGTCAAGGCACAGGTCAATGGTGGAGTCCCTTTACAAATTCTCAAGCAAATGCGCGGAGCCTCCGGTGCAACGGATGGAAGGGGCCTCAGTAAAGGGTCTGTCAAACAGCGCTGGGTCTGTAAAGACTTTTGATGTCTTTTCTTGTGACACTGTGGCGAGATTGGCATGGATATCTAGTGGCAGTGGTTTGACAAGTAATTTCAAGATCAATATCTTGCCATGGAACCTCATCCAAGACCTCCCAGCCTCATCATTCCATGTCAGGGATAATTTCTTCTGATCATTCTAATCAGTCATGATCCAATGACATGGACCTACATGAATGTCAAAAGCTGCCCCTATAACCAAAACACGCAGCAATGACACGACCATCTCCACTATACTTAAGTCTCCCCACTGACGGCAGCGTTCACAGTGACGCTCCGCATGCTCCCCATGCGCACACGGCACCGAGTCGGTGGAAGGCCGTGGTGGGCGAGAGCGCCGACCTGTACGGCAACCCACTGCCCCAACGCTTTCCACGGTTCAGCGGGTCCTCATTAAATGGGCGCTCCCGGTTTATGCAAAAAGAAGATAGGTCAGTCAGTCTCAAGATATCTAGAAGCGTCAGTCGCCTTCCATCAGGACTGTCTGCATTTGTTAGACCAAAAAATGAACCATGCCCGTCGTAGGCACAGGCTGACGAGGCACGTTTTGCAGATGAAGAAAAAGCAAACTCATCCATCCGTGCAGAGCAACACTCGTTCTGCAATGCAAAAATGCAAAAAGAACACTTGACAAAAAAGAACAGCATGTCTTCAAGGTCCACAAGATAGCATGAGTTGCAGGCAGGTCTGCAAAATAGCTGAGAACATGTGTTGAGCTGCTGAGGACATGTGGAACGCTATACATGATTCGCTGACCACGGAGGCGCCTTGGCTCTGTGCTGGGGAAGTGCTTGGGCTGCTGTCAGCTTGATTTGCGCCCAGCATTCCTGACACATCCAAACGGATGGGTCTTGCTGCATCCAACAAAACACGCAGAAGGGGGGGGTTCTGTGTCTCTACTGTCTTGCCAAGGCCAAGAGTGTCCCTTGGCAAGCATCTCTTTCAGGTGCCGTGGAAACACACCAAGGGAAGATTCGCACATCAACGAGGTAGTGATGCCAATTTGATGGGTCTTAGTCTTCGAAAAAAATAAAAAAACGCTTGCAGTGGAAAAACATACTTTGTAGTCATGGCATACTCTTGGCATTCTCAAAAATGCAATGCACGAGATGTTCTTCGTGCTTGCACTGTGTGACTTCCAATCTTCGGCTCCTGATGCTGGCAGGCACGGCATGCCTGGCATCGACATGGTCCATGTTCTTCCCAAAAAAAATAGATAAACGGCCATAGAAACATGGCACGGCCCCAAGAAGCATACAGTTACCATATTTGAAAGGAATTGCGAGTGTTCTGCTCCACTTCCAAGCACCCTTGGCTTCAGCCGCCTTGGCTTCGTGTAGACGAAGTGCTGGGAGTGCTTAAGGCTCGGGTCACAGGGGCCAGCAGCCCTGCCAAGAACGGCCGAAATGGGCTGCCTGTGCTGCTGAATCCATCAGACAAGGCTGCCTAGGGGCGGCCAAAGACAGTGAAATACCCTTACCCAACACCCCTAAACCACAACGGTATGTTGCGGTATGTTGGATTGTTTGGTGTCCTCATCCCAAATCGAGTCGAACTTAGGCTTGGCCCCAGCACCCGCTGAAAAAAAAATTAACATGAGCTCCGGAAACCTGGCCAAAGAACCGGTTTTCGATATGGCTGAGCACCCCTCAAACGATAGGTTGCAAACTTTGAAACCCGGTTCTGGCCATCAAGAAAACTATATAAAACTCATTTTAGGCAATAGGGCAAAGCCGATCGTTGTGGGAAGTTCGCTGGTCCGCATTGACCGGGGCCATCGCACATCGTCGCACCTGATGTAGGTGGACGACTTCGTGCTTCGCCGGTGGCCGTCGCGCCTGACGGTCGTTCGGCGCGGTTGGGGTCGTGCACGGCTGGCTGCTTTTTTTGGAGTGGAATGAATGGTCCCTTTGGCAGAAGCAGCAACTGGCAAACATGCAGCACCTGGGTCTTGAGAACAAAAAATGGAAGACATGAACCCAACACGCTTCAAGACGCAGGTGCTATCCAACAATTGGCTATCCAGAAACGGCCAAGCACTTGCAAACTTTTTTTTAAGGAGGAACAGCGCATCCACAGCAAATCGCTGCATCCACAGCCGCCTTGGCTGTTTGCGGGTGAAGTACTTGTGCTGCTTGCAGCCGGGTTTGCAAACCCAAGCACTCCTCGCGCTGAAAAGAAGCTAGTGGGACTCATCTAAACAGAATGGATGGAGGAAAGCACTAGCTTTAGTCCCGGAAAACAGGTGTTGTGTCACACTGCAACAAGAGAAGGGAGACAGGGGCACACTGACCAAGAGGAATGAGTTCACCCAAATATGTCTAGGCAGAATGCAAAGAAGATCCCGTGTCAATTCAGTTTGGGGGGGTCCAGCCACCCATTTATGGATATTGACATGGAGATCAAAGAAGTATATCTCATGAATGGATTCAAAAAAGGCATACTTGGCATCCGAACACCTCGTTTTGATGTTCTCCTGATGTCTTTGGTCGCCCACCACTCCAAGCTTCAGGTTCGCCAATGCCTGACTTGTTGAGAGACGGCCGTTGGTCTGCACACCTCTTGTGCCACTCTCTGGCTCAAGAGAAATGTACGGTTTGAACTTGCTGTCACCCTCTTTGCCTGCAATGTGTTGACGTGCTGACTGGTGCCAAGTGGGGAATGAGGGAATGACCCCTCACTATGAATACCTTATGGATCCATTCCCTTATGAGTCGCCAGTCAGCATGTTGAAAATGATGTTATCCAAGAACTCATCTGCTCCACTTCATCCGCTCGGCCCCTGGCTTCTTTCCGCCCGGCCAAACATTGGAAGGGACACTAAGAAGCAATCGGATCTCCTGCCTAAAAAAGAAGATCCAGTGACTCTACACACTTAAAATCGGCCTTGAAGCTTGGGTGTTGATGAACTCGTTCTCAACTTGGTGGCACCTTGTGTGGAAAACCGGTGATGTTTGGCATGTCTTTCTCCATCAAGAGCTGACTAGACTGTAGTTGGTGATCTGCAACACCTTTTTCAAGCCCGAATTATGAAACAATGCAAAAAGTAAATAACAGCTTGTTTTGTCCACTGGATTTTAATGCTGATCATCAAAACCATTTAAAGGTTCATCGATGGGGAAACATTCAACAGGTTCCTCCTGCCTTGCAGGGGCATAATGGCCACCGCGCGCTGGGCTCCACCTCGGTGTTTAGAGCGAACAGATGCAGCCGCCGAGGAGTTGGAGAAGGTGACAGTGACGTTCCAACAAGCAACGTCCGTCGATCTCCAAAAGCTATGGCGAGTGGAATATCCGGGGTTCGGGTAGCGGGGAGTAGGGAGCCCTGTGAAAAAGTTCCAATGACCAGACTGACCAACATGAATCAACATGATACAACTCCTTCGTCTTCGACTCTGCAACCACAGAACTTCGGTCAACCATTGGCCACCGCACCTACGCCACTTGCGCTTGGGTCGGCCATGGGAAGTCCTGACAGGGAAAAATGAAAGAAGTTGGCACCACCTGAGGTCATGACCAACAGATATGTTCAACTTTTCCTGCCACAATTCGGTACAATTGTTTGCTTTCTTCGTCAGCAGGATAGTGGATCGACGATGAATGGTACTGGAATGGGAGCTGTATTTCCTTTGGTTCTAGGAAGTGCACGCTTGAGATCCAAAAGCCCCCAGTTGGGCATGTCTGTCAGCAGTAAGGAAGCTCTGCCAAAATTGCCCAAGGATGACACATGTAAATGTGTGCAAACAAAGGCAGATTGGGTTCGTCAACTTGTTCCAGTTTCGATCGATGCCATTGACACACTGTATATTTTTCCACCATCAAGGGATCCAGCAGACGATTTCTCACGAAGGATGATATGATCAGACTGTCTCCCAATTCTCAGATTCACTCATTGATATTTCGAAACAAAAGCAAAGACACAACAACAGAAGTGTAGAAGATATTATTGAAGAATAATAATATTGCTATTGTCTTGTGTTGAAGTCTGGGTTTGCTGTGAACTTCCCAAACTCCGAACCTGTTAACAGCAAACCCACCCAGCGAAATCGGAACAAACCCAACAAACCCAGGCCCACAGCCTGGCAGCTGCGGACTGGAAGCACTTCCACCTGTGCCAGCCCGCCACGGCACGGTGGAAGGACAGCTCGCGCCATTTTCGGGGGAAGGACGATAGAACGAGGTTAGCCGTTCTGCAGCGTTCCCCCTTGAAGCGGAAGGGCATGGAACTTCCGAAGTCTTGACCATCCACCATGCTGCGAGAACAGATGTTTCATACATTCCCCAACCCCAATGGCGCCCCCGTCTGAATGTCTGTTCCTTCCCAACCCCACAAGCACAACGTCTTTGAGTGATCACGAAACCCAATCCACCAACCTCCACCAGGCTTTCTGGCCGGCTAACTACCCACCAACCTCCTCTCTTCCCACGCCGTCGCGTCCCTCACCTCTGGGGATGGGTCGCAGCACTGGAGACTTCCGCAGCTCCAAGGCGCTCTTCACCGCACGCAGCAGCCCTGGCGTCTCCGTCGTCACGCCCGCGCCGTGACGTCCGCGCCGTGGGGTGCTGGAAGATGAAGCACGGTGAGGTGGTGGCGAAGAACGGGAGGAAGAGAGTGTCAACTGTGAGATGAAAGAGATATGGCCAGGCAACTGGCCAAACCCTGACAAGTAGAACACTTTCGGCCAACCGCTTTTTTTGGGCGGTTCCACCTGCATGTGTCTTCAACAAAGGAGCCAGAGGCAAGACAATAAGACAAAGCTGTCTCGCGTCTTTTTCGCAGAAAGGATGTAGTCCGTGGCAAGTCCGTGGTGTCCAATCTTCTTCAGAGAAAAGACCCACATGAAACCGAACCACGACAACGACACGTTCCCCAGCCTTGTGGTACAGCTTCGGGTGGTTGGCCCACCGGCGGGCTCGCTGCGCTTGGTCTCACCGTCCTCAGCACCTCTCCAAGCTGATGGCGCCGCCGCGTTCTCCGTCCCTTGGAAACCAATTGGATCCCATTGGGCAAACAAGAATTACCCTCCCTGGAATTAACATGGAAGTGGAAAACCACCTGTTTGTAGTGGATTTTGTAGTCTTACAAGGGGCCATTCTCCACTTCCATGTTAGTTCCAGGGAGTGTGAGCTGAATTCAGCAAGCTGAGCTTCTCCAAACTCATCTGTCAGTCAGCTAAACTTATCCTTAAAGGTGATCATGAAGGGAACACATGATCCAAATTCCTTCCAATTATTTACTTTCGCGAGTCTTTCAAGAATGCCATGGCTTTTGCGGGGAGTATATCCAAGAAGTACTCTTGGTTTGGTTGTTTCCAGACATACCTATCTTTCGCAGATCTTTCAAATCTCTCGCAAGTCTTGATCATGTCCCTGCGTGGAGTGACCGCCTGCAGCGATGCTGCTGTCTGAACGGCTTGGGAGAGCAGCTTCTTTCGTTGCCTAAGACTGTGCACCAAGACGGTGCGCCGTCTGCAAGGCAAAAGACGCAGTCTCATCCCTGCATTTTGGGAAAAAAAGAACTGAGGGCCAATATCCAGATTGAGTAGGCCGCAACATTAAGACCAAAGATAGGAAGTTTGTCCAAACAAAATGCTCCTCTTGATGGATTACAAAATGAAACAAACCTCAACCTCAAAGCGTGGCCTCTATTGCATGCCCTGAAACACACTGAGATTCATGCTGAGGGCTACGAAGAATGAACTCTCCATCCGTGCACTCCTGCAATCCACCCTGCCAAGCAACGGCACAACGATGGAGGTCACGGACAGCGGGGCTAACATCTCTTTTGCAAATACATCCACCCTACTGAGACGCTAATATATTTCGATCATTGTTGACTCAATTTCTGCTCTTGAACCACTCACACAACAAGGGCAGCCTGCATAGCCTCATGCCACTCCAAGAACGACAACTAGAGTTCATAAGCTGTTCAAACCTCCCCAAAAACTATTCCGTATAGCACACTCGCTTGAAAGAGACGGCAAACGCCCACCTGAAAGCCTATAGAAAAAAAGGAATGGCCCAATCAATATTGTTGCAGCTCTTGACATCTTGTGACCCTTTCCTCCTTTTGTACGCCTTTTCCACCTCAACCTTAGGGATCCAGTCGTACCTTCTCAGAAGGTGAGCAGGAAAACACTGTTATGTAGGTGCCAGGCTTTAAGTCCCTGCCGCCTAGTCCGAACGAAAACGGATCCCGAGGGCAACCACAGGTATGCATCCCATGCATCGAAGCAAAGGGCATCGCTACTAGGAGCAAGGGCCTTACTAGTAGTAACAAGGACGCTAGTAGAAACAAGTGCCTTACTACTAGAAACAAGTGCCTTACTAGTAACAAGAAGCTATTAATTAGAAGCTATATACAGTCCCATCGCCTCCTCGCCTCCTCATCTTTCACCTGTCGCAGGAGCCGCACGTCCGCCTCCACCACCCCGAGCAGCGCGCGGAGCTTGTCGATCTCCAGGTCCACGTGCTGTCCTTGTCCTTCCACTCCGACGGAGCTTTAGCGGTGCGTTAAAGTAGCTTTTTGTTACTAGTAGCGAGGCACCTGTTACTACTAGCGTGGCACCTGTTACTAATAGCTTCTTGTTACTACTAGTAAGGCACTTGTTACTACTAGCGATGCACTTGTTACTACTAGCTTCTTGTTACTACTAGTAAGGCACTAGATTAGGTATATCCCTTTAGCATATCTGTGCCTTGGGTTTATCCAGGGTCCAGTGGACGTTGATGGTTCAGTTGGATGATGGTTCAGTCTATCCTATGACCAGGGCCCAGTGGGATGATGATGGTTCAATTCAGTTGGATGATGCTTGTTCAAGAATGGTGATAACTGATTGTTGACTGACTGCTACAGGTAATGGGACAGACCCGAGGTATACCTCATAAGCAAGAGTGGTGAAACAGGCGTTGGATCTTAAATGTTTGCTGGTTTATCCCATTACCAGGGCCCAGTGGATGTGGATGATGATGATGATTAGTTTTCTTTTTAATCATCATTATGATTATTAGTATCATGATGCTGATGATGCTGGTTAGTGAAGGTTGCAAAAATTGTGTTTGTCTTTCAGCGGCGATTCGAAGCAGTGGTGTACAGCCAACTGTTGCCGTGCCGACTGTGGGTGGCAAAAGGGTTTGAGTTGCTTCTTCATGGATTTATTTTCAAAAATATGTTGCCCAAACAAATACAGTACTGTATCAGTATGATCATCTATTGTGCAAAAGCAAATCAATTCTGGTTGGTGTTTCCAACTCACTTGACAAGTCTGGGTTCATGTGGGTTCAGTGATGTTTGAACTCACAACCCGGAATGGAATCTGTCTCAAGAGTCCAATCTCTGTTCTGCCCACCTTCGCCCAAAGCAGTTCGTAAACGTGCCAGCTCCATCTGTGGCTGCGCGCCCTTTAAGGTGCAAAAATCAAGAGTCTGCCACTGGGTTGTATAGTTAAATTACAGTAAGCTTTGCCTCAAAAGGAGTGTTTCCATCCGTTGCTGGGTTTGGGGTTCCAACTTCTGAACTCCAAGCTGATTGCCAAAGAATTCGACATGAATTCACCTTATCCAAAGGACGAAACAAAAGAACATCAACTCCACTCATCCAGTCTTTGGGTGACCAAAGCTCCAGGCTAAGTGATCTGTGTGCCTGATCTTGCTCAAGACTTGATCCTGAGAGAAGCATTCCAAAGTATCTCTCGTCTCTCGCGCTTTAGGGAGCGCTGGAATACCTGGTCAGTGAGTTGATTGGACTCAGCTGATAGAAACTATATACAAACTGTCCAATTCACCACGGCCGTCTGTGCTTCACAGTCTGTCGTCTTCTCTTCTTTTTGCGCTTGGCGCAGGTCTTTGTGCTCAGGTGCGCTGGAGCTCTCATCAGGACCTCAGAGTCACTGGCGCCGCATCAGGAAGACTGGTGACTGAGTCCGTTCTCTTGGCCCAAGAAACGAAGGAAACTCGTTTTCTGATGTGGTTGAGGTATGTTACGGGTGTCTTTTCAAAAAGGATTGCAGATTCGGAAGTTCTTGGTCTCCGAACATGGTCCTAAGTCGCCTTTGGTTCCGGTAGAGAAGACATGAGAAGACACAATGACACGAAGCATGACCCCTGACTCCCCTGACTCCCCTGATCTTATCAAGTGCCCGTTTCCAGTGCAACGGCACCAGTTGCACCGTGTTTCTTTGCAGGGAGAGTGGTGGAGCTGCGAAGTACAGTAGCACGCACTGAGAGCTTCCTCCGCATCATAGAACTGCAGCGGTCAGAGTTGAAAGTCCTTTCTTGTGGCATCGACACACGAAGCCATCCTGTTTGCTTACAACAAATGCCGGTGATGCACAAATAGCTATTTTAGGGTCTACCAGCATCGTCTTGCAATGTGTCACCATGTTTTGCTTAAAACCCAACGCCAGCAGCAGAAAAGGCCGCAAGCACATGAGCAGATCACAGCAGTGGTCAAACCACTGAGCATCCCAACAACTTGGATGCTTTCGACTTCGATGTGGGCTTCGATGCTTTTGTGTAGCCCTTCTGCTGCGCAGCATCCCAGAACCTGCCGCGGAGGCCCGGAAAGTTCATGCTTGGTGCTCATGGAAGGGGAGGCTTTGATTGGCCTGGACATGTGGACGCACCAAAACTCTTAAGACGGGGTGGGTTGCAAGATGTTGTAAGAGGAGCCGCAAAAACGGACACGTGAAGAAGCCGCAGGATGTCGACGTCGTCATCACGTCGCTGGGGGAGGCACTCCATGAAGTCTCGATGCTTGTTGGCATTGACTTCCACTTCCACGGCCTCAGCGCGGGCGGCACAGCACTCACCAAGGCGGAGGGGACGGATGCTTACGGATGCCATCCGCCCACGCTTTGCTGTGCAAGGTGAAGGGGTATGTTGAGAATGATTGGAATTGAGGACATCCATGATGAAATGATTCTAAAGATCGACTTTCCCGGGTGTATAGCAGTCGGTTTTTTTTGAGACGCCCAACTCGCCTCAGGGTCGGGAGAGCCGCAGGAGCTGTGTTTGGATTATGTTAGTAGTTTGACAAAAATGATCGAAATGCTGATAATGCTAGCAATCTTGGAGGCACCAACAGCATCACGAAGCCTCATGCACTTATGTTTGTCCATTGTATGGCCTTGGATGCCCATTCCTGCCCGCTGTGACCACGCTGAGGATCGCACCCCTGGAAGCATCCTTGAGAGAACCTTATCGAGGGATTGAAACATGCAACATCACGTGGAAACGATCGTGTGATTGGTATTTGATTCTTTGATATTCTTTGATCACTAGGGATATCAAAAAGGAATCACCTTCTATCAAATACAGTAGATCAACTGGGAGGAGATCGAAAGGCCCGAAAACATGACATCTGCTTCTCGTTCTTGCTCCACATTCCTCACCAAGCAAAACCCGTTGCCTGTGCAGGAGCTCGGGACAAGGTCTTAAGTTAAGGAGCCGAACTGCCTGATGAGAAGCTTTTGTTCAACCCACCTGGAGATGTCTTCCACTCCGGGTGTCATTGCTTTCACTGGTTGCAACATCAACATCGCCTGCACCACTTTTACTTTGTGTCAATGGAACTATATCATTCCATTCCCTTCTGTTAGCAATCATGAGACAACATTTCTGACACATCAATATCAAGAAGACTAATTGTCCTACCCAAACCTGTACGTCCGTGGCTGTGTGCGTGATGGGACGCAAGTCAACCTATCGCTTCATCGCAGGTGGTTCCCCAGATAATGTTTCAGTCTCCACAAAATTGGCATAAGGATGCACAAAAGCTTTTTTTGACACTGAGAACCCTGTTACTTCTTTGCAATCTAAAAGGAATAGCGAAAAACACACCGAAAACACACCCATCCTTGCAAATTCCTTCTGCCTGCCAGTCTTCAGTCTCTGTCTCCTCTTTTTCAGCATGTCTTTCCTCCAACCCTCCAACCCTCGTCCCATCTCTTCCCATCTCTTCCACCACCAACCCCCCCCACCAACCGGTCGTCCTCCACCGTTTTTTGGGCCTCCGGGCCGTGCGCAGCAAGGCCGTGGACTCCGCCAGGGACTTGCCCTTCACGGCCACCGCCACGTCGCAGGCGGGGAGCCAACAGGCCTTGACCTGGGCGCCGCGGCGAGGCGCGGGGTCGGGTTGGTGGACCTGAGGACTCTCGTTTGGATGAGGCTTGGTTCACACCTCCAGGTGTGGTAAAGAACTAAATAACCCGGTGAAAAGAAAGGTCAACATATGCATTGTGTTGCGGTGTTTTACTGTAGATTGGTATAGTAAATGCACACGTTTTTGGACACATCCATGTGTGTAAAACTGTGAAATGGACATGTTTGGGGTATAGTAAAAAAACTAAGTGGGTAGTGACATACAATAGGTGGAAGCGCATTGTTCGCAGATCCAAAGATTTATGTTGATTGATGTAGGATAGACTGTGGATGGAACCTGATCCACATAAGGAAGCTTTGGTGGGTTAACCCGATCCCACATTCAAATGGGGATTCCGTGCCAGTTTGGGTTTATCACTCAAAAAGAAAGGGAGGAGGAGAGACTTGAAGGCCTCGGCATCTCCAGAAATTGCCTTCGAAATAGCTCGGAAGGCCTAAGCTTCTGGCGATGTGGAAAGGCTGCAGGCAAAGATGCAGAACATGCCTTGGCAACAAAGTCATGAGCCATCTGGCCGTAACTGGCCCAAACTATCTAATCTGTGATGTCCTTAGACAGGCCCCGGAAGAATGCTCCGGCATCCAAATTCAAGCAAACAAGTCGAGTCTTCCGGCACAAATCATGCCATCTAATCCAAGCTAATTACATCTGATATCCATTGCTTAGGCTGCCAGGCTGCCAACCTTTGCATCACATGAAGACCGATGTTTCAACGACCTCCTTCTTCACAAACTCCAAACTCCCTGAGAGGTCGGCCGAACCACATCTCCCACCGTGTGATGCGGCGTGTAGGCGCCGCCCTTGGAATACTCCAAGGCCACCAGGGCGGTGCCATGAGGCCTCGGCTCCGGTTCGGCTTGGTGGAAAGAAGTGGATCGGAGCTATCAGCTCCAGTAGTACATCCATTTCAAGGAGTCCATCTCAAGTTAGTACCTCTTCATCTCAAGCCTGAGCTCAAGATAGCTCAAGCCTGGGCTCAAGATAGCTCAAGCCTGAGCTCAAGCCCAATCTAATAGCAATGCTAAAGCTTCCAACTCTAACTCTCTTCCCTTTTTTTGGATGGTCTGAGTATCCCTGCTTGTCCATCGCCTCCAAACCAGCGAAGGTTTCCGGCTTCCAGGCCTTGACTCGCCACACACGGACATACCGCCACTCTGCCAAGGACGGACCTCTTCGGAATGTCGTGCTATTCTGAGACGCACCCAAGTTCAGAGTGGGATACAAAGAAAGAATTATAATATGGGCCTAATACGGGCTTATAAGATCTTGTAAGCTGTGAACTGAGTAAACAAACCTCTGTGCACTCCACCACGCCGCTCACCTGAGGCACCCCACCAAGATGGCACTTCCGTTGGTGCGAGCTCCCTGTCGAGGGAGAGAAAGTGAGCACCAATCTCTGAAATCAATTGAAATTGAAATCAAATGAAGTCAGCAAATTTGCTCTGGCAGCATAAGCATGAAGATGTTTGTGTTTTGTCGCCCACCGCGACAAAATCTCTTTGGAGCTCGATCAAACATCCATCGACCATCGACCCCCCCAGAATGCAGAATGCAGAATGCAGGAGACGTCCCTCGACGTACCACAGGCGACCTGAAGACGTGTTTCAGGCCTCGGCAAAGACGACCACCGGCCCACTCCAACCTGCCAGGGTGAAAGGAGATAGGGGCCCGGCCTTGCACAACTCCATCAACAGCGAAGCTAGGTCCCGGGGTCCTATAGGTCTATTATGGGATCTTTTCTTCTTGTTGCGAGGATGTCGGCTGCACTGGCCATGAAAAAGTGTCTTCAAAAACCCACCCGGTCCTCCAGGTCCTCCCAGTCCCAACAAGTCGGCCTGCATGTGCAGCTTTGGCAATGTCAGCCAGCGTTTGCCTTCTCGGTGGCTCACGAATCCGAACTCGATAAGGGCAGGTAACGCTGGAGTCCAGCATGGACGTCTGGACCTGGAAGGGGAGAATTAAAACAGAAAACGGTACAGTGGTAGAGTCACTGCATGATGGTAATGGTGAGGGATAGAGGTTCTCGAGGTTGAGCTGGCCCATATCAAATGCATTCGACTTGGAGAGCTTTTCCACCTGTCTCTCTCATTTTCTCATCTCAGGATGGTCTCAAATATCCTGCGACATCCTACGACATCCAAGCGGATTCCAATTCGGCCGCATCCTCGTGCGGCTCTTCCGGGGCTCCCCGACTTGGAGGCCGGCGCCGGTGGAGGGTCGCTACTGGCCCGGCGAAGGGCGCCCAGTAGCGAATAGGCCACGGGCCTTGAGAACACGGGCGCCTGGCCCTGGGCCCGAACGATCAATTCTCCCTTCAAAGACCAGGTATCTTGTTTGGTTGAAACAGAACAAGAGATCCGGACCAAGTCTGAAGTGTTACCACCTGGGAGAAACCGTGCAAAGCCCCCACTCCTCGTTTAGAATTTAGAATTCACGGGAGACTTGATAAGTCAGCTGTTGACAGGTCCCGTCCCAGCGTACTTCGCAAAAAAGGCGTTTGGAGTCACCGTTGGAGGAGTCTCCACCGGTGGAGGGGGTTGCGAGCAGCGGGCTGCCTAATTGATCGAAGAACAACGAACCAGAACAAGGGTGAAAGCCAAACCTACGGCGCTAAAGCATGACAATACATGCGGCCTCTTTGGAACTTCGTTTTAATCATATCCATCACATTGGAATCTTGGATTTGCTCAAGGAACCTGGAAAAATAGAAACAACATATGTTCCAGAAGGTGATTTACACATGAACAAAAAAGAATCACCTTCAACAAATGCAGGGAATTGGGTGAACCAACACTCTCAGGTGAACACAAACCCTGTTGGTTCTTCTGTGACTCTAGACTCTACTCCACTTATCGCTAAGGCTCAAGCGTCCCGTCAGCCGCTGGAAACACGAAGACAGGACACAGCCTCTTCGTTTGGAGTGGCGCTGCGGCCCATACTAAATTGCATGCCACTCGTCATATATATATAATAGGTCGCTTGATCCCTTCCTTCAAAAAAAGAAGGTGCACGTATCCAGCATCCACCAGCTCAAAATCGTGTTTGAATCTCCCAAGAGTCTGCAGTACCATGGACTGAACACCAAAACGAGGGCCTCCTTTGAGTCGACTGAACAGTGGAACTATAGAGTGGATGACAGTTAATGCACGTTTTTGAAGGGAAAACCACAAGACAAGTAAGTAGAACATGTACAAAAAAATACAGCAAACACGTGCAAGCAGCGCAAACAACATATGATTACAATCCATTAGCACTTACTAAATGTACCCTCTATATGGTCAAAACGAGGGCCTTGTCAAGGCATCTCAACTCATCTCACACTTTCTCAGGGCGGCACTTCATTCCAAGGTACAAGACATCGGTCAAGCCCTGCCTCAGGCAAGCATTGACACAGAAGTTGCAGGACTGATCAAACATGGTCCCCAAGGTACAAGTCAGACTTCGGTACATGTATGTCGCTTGCCTAAACTTTTGACACATTGCTTGCCTATAGACTCCAGTCACAATGTGATTTGTTTTCGAGAAGCTTCTCGTCTCGCAACCAGCTTTTCGTATTGCCCAAACAAGTTCCTTTTATTCAGAGCAACACAGATATACCGACTTCATGGATTTGAACAAAATAGAAACATGTCCAGTTTGCACTTGCCTAGAATATATTGAACTCGCAACACGCCTAGGCCAAACAAACACATGTGTTCTTTGTTGGTTTCGTGATGTGTGTTTGTTATGGCTGAGATCCCGCGCATGTTGGCGATCACCAGGCAACCCCGTTGTGCGTCGAAGCAAAAGGATCGGCTCACCTGCCCGGGTGAGAAACGATCGGGGCCTCCATGGGTTCAAGCACTCTCATATATGAAGAGTGTTGTTGAGCTAGCTCTTGGTCATGTTCTTGAGCAACAACCATCTGTTCTAGACTATTCTTGCATGGGTTTTAAGGGGAAATCTCCAGGAATCCAGGGTTTTCACACCCAAAACTATGGGTTTCCTGCAGATATTCCCTTAAATCAATTCATGGAGACCATTTCGGATGCTGTGCGCACTCCGATGCTGCACGCAAGGTTGCTGTGAACAAAGTGTCCCTTTTCGCATGAAAGGAATCAGTCTGCGGGTCAAACCCAGTGTACTTGATACCTCAAAAGACTGTAAGTTCAAGCAATGATCCGAAGGAAAAAATGAGCAGCTAGTATGACGTGTGATGAATATTGTTTCCTATCCTCTAGATTAGCTGTTGGTATCATAACATCCAAATCATCCAATAGATGTTCAAGAGCAACATCGAACCCCCTACCCCTTGACTGGTCGCCCGCCTTGGGAGGAACCAGTTTCAGCCTTCGATGATCTGCCACTTGATTGCCTGGAACTGGACGTTTTGGGCCATGAAACGTCGACGGGTCGTCGTTGACTCTGCCCACTTGCAACCGAGCAGCCGCCGGCGACGAACCAGAAGCCTCACAAAAGAAGCGAGCTGAAAGAGAGACTTCTAGCTTGCTCCTGAGGTTGGATGATCCATCATGGTGATCCTGGCTGTTCGCGTGGCTGTGGGTGATCCAAAACCTGACATCCTCGGTAGGTTGACGACCCTCTCGGTGGTCCACCTCGGTCTGTGTCCCGGTCCCATGACCTGACCCATGCTGAGGGTCGGGCCCAAGCCGATCATGGCCAGGCAGCAGCCGGCGTAGGTCATGAGTGACTGCACAGGCCGCCTCGAGTCATGATGATAATTCAAAAAAATCCATATGGACAAAGAATGACAAAGAGAAGTTCTCAGAAGGCCTTGTTTGTAGGTTGCTAGAATGATGCCAAACAGCTACTATTATGTCTCAGCATAGGCATATTCTTGCTGGAGTCTTTGTAGATCAGTCATTCTTCAGCTCTGTTAAACAGAGGTGAAGCCGGCAAAAAGTCCAATTCTGCCGTGTCAAGGTCCCCTGGTCCCGTCGACCGAGTTGGACATATTGCAGAACTGGCATGGCATGACTGGTGGACAGTTGTGCAACAAATCCGAGCAGAATGATGAGCCAGCCGCCAGCCCAAACAAATGACTCACCATTCATCCATGTCATTCATCAATGACCGTGCTCGCGAAATTGAACAATGATGGGCTCACCTGGTGAGCAACTGGAGACGATTAGACATGTGAAAGCGCCCAAGGGAAGAAAGCAAGCCAACGGGAGCCATGATCAAGCGAACCACTCACCAAGCAAACCCTGACCCTGTCTCTCCACATGTCCAGATCGCACCTCAAAATTGGGATGATCGAGAGTGGCAAGCAAAGAAGCTCCGTCAGCAACAACCTCAGACCACTCCAAGATACTCCAAGGCTAGTGGCGGTTCGCTTGCTCAAACAGCCTGTAGGACAAGTGAAGACTGGCTTCATAAAACCTGAACCGAAGATGTGTTGTGTCTTGTTCCAGCTCAATCTCCAACACCAGGTGTGTCCAGAGGCGCCGACCAGGCTGCCGCGGTGGCTAAGGTCAACAGCCTCATCAAGGCCACGGGCAGCAACACCTGGCCCCCGGGTTGGACCGAAAAGCGATGGAAGACGAGGGAAGTCGCTGCTTGCAGCTGCGCTGCTTGGGGCCTAGCAGTTAAGGAGGCCAGTTAGGGGGCCAGTGAGCTTGTTGGCATAGGTTGTGCTAGATCTCAGTTCTCCTTTAGCTAAGTACTCTTCCCTAGGGAATCTTCTTAATCCCCTCTCTGGGTTGCCACTGTGGAGGGTGGACGCCCCCCAATCTATGTTCAAGGTAAAGGAATATTGTTCAGCCCCAAGCCCCAATGAGTTTTGGGAGCACCAACAAGCGGGAAAGCCCCAAGGATAGACTATATAAGCGGCGGCATTTTGTTCAGTGCTAAACTAAACTCAAATACATTATATATCTTTTATGTGGGGCGCCGTATCTCGGTTAGACTATAATTATACTTAAGTAGGAGATCATGTCACAGTATCTCGTTCAGACTACTCTAGTAGCAAATCACAGTATATATCTCATTCAGACTACTTTAGTGTCATCAAAAATAAGTATCTCGTTCATGTGGGGGCCCTATCTCGTTCACAAGTGAATACTGATGATTCATAGAAAAACAAATAGAGCATGCATGAGCATGCTGTAGACTACTTTAGTAAAGCACGAATAAAAGTGGTTGCTCATATGTCAATCGCCAAATTTGACCCACCAAAATGAACTGCAGTAGTGACTTTTGAGGCCAAGCTTTGAGCATGTCTAATCCCCCCAAATCAAGTCCCATCTGAGGCGAAGACCAGCTTCAAGCATCGCATCAGCAAGCTGGCCTTCATCAAATAAAGGCCAATGACCCAAGGACCGATGAAACAATTTCATCAAACTCATCAAATGTTCCTCAAACAAGCAAAACAACTAATGCTTGAGTGTCAGAAGTCCTCCTTGTCGTGACTTCATCAGCAAGATCGGTTTGCCAGTGTTTGCCAGTGAATCAGCACTCAATCCTCAATCCATACCATGACCCCATACCATACCACACCATACCACACCATGGCTCACTCAATACCCGCGATCGATTGACATCGGCCTTGTAATGCGACCATGGTGGGACGAAGGGATTGACCCCAGTTCCTCGGAAAGACGAGGACGTTCCAGCGAGAAGCGGGGCGTCCGAAGCAACGCGGAAGCACCGCGTCCCGCGTCCCGCGTCCCGCGTCCTCCATCGGCAAACTGACGGTATTTCTCCATCGCTGCAAGGCCAAACGACGAAGCAAGACGACGGATGATGAATGACAAGGGTTGTGCTTGAAAGGCGTCCCCCAACTTTATCCAACTTCAACCTTTTTGGGTAATAAACATGTTTTTCTGAATCTTGAGTGCGTCTTTTGCAGCGTGACTACGTCAGCTTGCAGCTGGATTCTGCATTGTTTGTTGTATGGAGTCGTGCTTCAAGTGATTTCGGCAGAGATGACCATAGCATGGCTGCCCTACAGCGTGATGCACCTGGTAATCGTGCCTACGGGCCCAAGGCTTGACGCCCCTCATTTCACACAGTTCTGAGCCAACGCCGTGAACAAATCTGGAGAAGCGACGACTCATCATACTCATCAGCTGCTCCTCAGCTGTTTGGCTCGAAAGTGTTTCGTTCACCCAGATTGAATGAAGTACTTGGAGGCGAACTGTCTTAGACCAGTCTACTACAAGAAGTACTTGTTGGAGTACTTGTTTGAGTACCCACTGGAGGCTTCCAAGTACTTCTTGTGGCTGCTACGACCGACTCGACACCGGGACACCGGGACGACCGACTCGGTGGGGAAGAACGGTGTCCTGTCGTTGCTTTAACAAGCTGAGGTTCTGTGTGAAGTCCAACAGCGACTGCTAAGGCTCGAGCAGTGGAAATCATCACCAAAGAATCGTTGAACAAATTGAAACGTCTGAAGCCAGCCGGCACTAGCACTGCCCCAAAGTGGCGTGAGAAGTCAAAAGGTAAAGAGTGGAAGTCACAACCACCCCACCATCCCCGCATTGCCAGCACGTTTGTCTTTTTCCCAGCTGGCAGGTCGGAAGAAATCTCCTGGCGGAGCTCTGAAAAGATCAGAGAATGACATGTAAGCACTGCTGTCCATTGAAAGACATCTGCTGGAAAATCCTCTGGATGCTTGAAGAGTGTGTCTGCAAATGACTGCATATAGATCTTGACATTTGAACATGTCGCACAGAGTACGTGAAATGTACAGTATCTTCAACCCTGTGGCAAGCACCATGCTTCTCGCCCCAAATCGTTCAGCACACAGGTCAATGCAGACTAGACACAGTAGTGGAAAGCTAGCTGTGGTGATGACAAAAGAAACCAAAGTGTTAAGATGTGCTACGTTTTGTGCATATTGTAACATTGAAACTTTTGTGCAGCTGTGTTTCAATCATGTGTGACCTTTACCATCTTGACCAAATTGGAAACTGCTGTGGCCATTGTCGTTGTCGAACAGAACTCTCAGAATCGGGGTCCGTCGCGATGCTACGCGTTGTGCGGTGTTCGGTTTGGAAAGTGCTGTTTCTTTTGAGTGACCACCGATGCGCAAGTTGTTGAAAAGCAACCCACTATTTAAGTCACTAGGAATGGATTCCATCGACAAGAATATCAGAGGCTTCATCGAACAAAACCAAGAGGCCTTGGGACTATGCACTTCGCAGGCAACAAGCACCGAAACCTTGATCCATATTGCAAACGTCCAAGTAGACTATGCAGTTGTTTTTCAATTTATTTCTTTCAAGTTTCAGCACGATCTGATGATACTATGATCTGATGATGATATGTGTGGTAGTTTGGTGGCAAAATGCAATCATGTGACATGAGGACGAGTGAGAGTCAAAACCAGAACAAAGTGACCAGTGCTTTCTCCTCTCTTCGCCTCACAACCTCCGAACATCTTCCCATCCAAAGCATCACGCAAACCGGGTGGAGGGAATCCCATTCTCTCTGGGCCGTTCCAGGATCTTCATAATATATATATATATATATTCTGACATCCTTATGGCTGGTTCAGACCGGAACACTCATGGTCATCCGAGTCTTTGGCCACCATGAGGTCCACGTAACTTCACGTAACCATATGACGATGTCAAATTAATTCGTGGAACCCACGTAACTGTTAGAGACCTCCACCCTTCCCCCAGTCATTCGTCCTGCTGCCACGTTCTCCGTGGGGGGCAGGAACTCCTTCCACGGCGTCATCGCTCCATCCGTCGGCCACCTGGCGAGTGTTCAACTCAAAACAAGTCGCATCGGACCTTACAGAACCATCGGACCAAAAGCCCATTTCGAACGGCCGAGTCCGCGAAATTGGATCTTGAAAACAAGATCACTGTCCAACGGCCGAGTGCTGTGCCAAAATTGGTAAAGTTAGTGACTAGTTAGTGATCAAGGGAGAAGTTCGCAGTGTCCTCCCAACGAGTGGTGAGCCTTGCCTGCCCAGCACACGCGGTGCCGAGCCGGCTCTTGAGCGGGTCCTGCGGATGGAGGTCTTCTCCGGAACCTTCTTATTCCAGCCACAGCAACCTGTTTTACAGGATGAATCTGAGCCTTCAAACCTATTTGGCCAGTGTGCGCGACAGAATTCTCTTCAGCCAAACCCATAAAGGAACAAACCATCCAAGCAAGATAACGAAGTCACTCAGTAACCTTAAAAGAATCCGTTCGCAATCTGCTATAGGCCATAGATATCTATACTTCGTACTTAGTATATAGATTCATAGATTCTGCTAAACCATCCACAAATCCACAAATCCACCATCAGCAGCACCTTTGGCCGCCTATGAGCATGTCAGAGGCAAGTGGATATTGCACTACACCCAGCCAGGATCAATACGTTTGGCTCTCCGTCCCGAAGAGAACACGAAGCCTTGGAGACTCGCAGAGCAGCACGTCTCGCAGAGCACGAGTTTGGCGCGAGCGTGGCGTCCTCCGGCGTGGCGCCGCGTGGTGTCCCGGTGGCATCCCGGTGAACAAAAACAGGAATTGATGTGTGAAGAAAACCATGGAAAACCTATCAATTTGGTTGAACTTTTTGGTTGCCAGGGATATCTGTTGTAAGGGAAAGTGTCAAAAATCCATGTGTGACAGATGGTCCCAGGAAGAAGTCCCCCACCACTTGGAGCTACTCACTTGGAGCTTTCTCGGAGATTGGAACATGAAGAACGTGAACATGTTTAAAGTTAAGTACTTACTTGCTCGATGCATGAGAGGAACTCTGACTCTGGACGGTGGGTCTCACGAACTAGTAAACCATCTAAAAGCCCAAATGACGGATTGGAGCGAAAGCTCTTCTTTTGTTGCGCGACGGATGTAAAAGGATTCTGCGAAATGCCTAGCTTGGGCATTGTGCACCTCCTTTCCTGCCTCCCTGTACACAGCCTCCAGCTGCTTGAGCAGGTTTGGAAGCTTTCGGTTTGTCTGCAGAGGAAGGGCGCTGGCCGAAAATTGAGTCAGAAAGTTCACCCCTCAACTTGTGGATCAAGCCCGATCAAACCTGGGTTAACCACCTTGGCTGCATACTATGTTTAGGATCGGAGAATGCGCAACTCTTGTCCAAGAGGTGAGGAGCGAAGAAGACTTCTCTGACCCAGATCGATACCTTGTGTGGGGCCGACTGAAACGCCACACGACGAACGTGGCGGCAGAACATGGACGATGGATGGCCACTTAGTGGGAAACGAATGGACAATTCTTACCCTCTGACTCACTAATTAACGTGGAAGTGAAAAAACGACCTGTTTGGTATTCGGATTTGAAACTGGTCTTCCCAGTGGCCATGTTCCGTTTCCATGTGATGTGTTAGGCACTTACCCACCGCCATGGCTGTGCCCATGATGGTGTGTCTCTGTGTTCTCCATCTCATCCAGATCTTCGACGCACCACGGATCCTCCCACTGGGACCACTGGTCGGGCCCCAGTGCCAACTCTTCTGCTGTGAGGAGGCACTCTTCCAGTGCTGCCATCACAGCAGTTTGATCCATGTGAATTCCAATGCAAACAATCTCATTCTGCCGATCGCCCACTTTCTCGTCCCACAAGGGTTTGATTTCACCCTCCAGCCCTTCTGGCCATTCTTCACGGGGCACCACTGCCCACCAGAGAGGGCCCAAAGCGACGTTGAACTTACAACCTGCGAACGAGGCCGTCAACTGCGTATCATTGTGACAAGCCAACCAAACAATCCCCTTCATTCGCACCACCTGCTCCAGTGCTCCATCTCCATCGCCTCGTGTCTTGTTCTCCATCGCCCCATAGAGCCGTTGGGGATGGAAGGGTCGTCGGCTGCGGAAGATGAAGGAGTTGATGCCGTACTGCACGGACTCGGGCACGTGCTCGGCGTGCCGCGCCTCCGCCAGCCATTTCGGATTGGCTTCCGCACTGGGGAGGTTGAACCTGGCCACCTCGAAGATGCTGCGCGGAGCAAGCCTTTGGCTGAGAGGACGCACGACGCACGACAACGCATGAAAGAAGAGTCACAGTCACAGAGTCAATACGGTAGTACGGTAGAACTCCTAAATCACGATGAGAAAATATATCTTCTAATTTCACCACCACCCTGGTGTCCATCTTCAACAAACAGTCCTTATCTAAATATCCTTTCTATGGATCCATATACACAATATATAGATCCACTGTTGTCATCTATTTCTTCTGCAATTGGTTCCAAGACACTTGCAGAAGTTGGTCTCCATGATCTCAGCCTCCTGGTTGATCTTGCCGATCAAGGCCCGAATCTTTGCCAGGTCCGCCGGGGACACGAGATCTACTTTGTTCAGCAAAATCATGTCTGCAAACCTGCCATGTCTGAGCATGCAGACGGACTGGAGGAGCAACTGATAGACTGAAGAACTTATAAACGTGGGTGAATGGATGGTGAATGGGATAAACAGTCGCCTATAAACACAAATAACATTAAATGCCTATAAACTATCATCAGCTGCAGGTGGATGTCCAGAAACCCTGTATGTCTTTAGGAAGGTGGTGACATCCACTTGAATGGATGGGATTCCTTCCTACTAAGAGCACAGAAACATGTGAGTCTTTTCAACAAATTGATTTACAGTATGTTTTAGATTGATTCTTCAACTCGCTAGAACGATGTCAACCAGAATGGCTAGAACGACGGGCGCTGGAACGACGGGGCGCACTGTGACTCAAAGAGACGAAAAGAAGAAAGAACACTCAAGTCTGGCCACACCAAATGGGTCACCAAATGGTCTATATATCTCAAAGACCCCTGGAGTCTGGACTCTCCTCTCCTCCCTCCAAAAAAGGATCAACCACAACTCCTTGGGGTCAAATGGGGTCGTTCTGTGGAGGCGAACTTATACATACTCAGCTTGCGGTTTCTGATGTTTTTCTTTGGACGCCACATCCCAAAACCCCCAACTCCCTCCCTGGCACCGCACCGCCGCAGCCAAAAACACCCTCCAAGAAGCTCCACTTGGTCGAAGAGCAATCCAGCAATCCCTCGCTGATCCTCCTCATCCGCCTGCCACTGGCGGTCGCTCAAGGCCTCTTGGCTAGACATCTCCTTCAAAAAGGTGGAGCAATCCACCACGGTGACGAGGTTCTGCAGCTGCGCCACCTCAAGGGGTCGGTCCAGTCGAAGAGTCGAGAGGTGGAGAGGTCGAGTCGAGTCGAGTCGAGTAGTCGAGTCGAGTGGTCCACCGAAGCGAGTTGTGCATCGAGTAGACGTCGTGGCTTCCTTTCATGTCATAACCTCCACCGACCCAATCCATCTGGGCTTCCATCCATGGGTGGGTCAAAAAGGATCAAAGTACCCGAAACTGGACCACCTGTCCACCCCGTTTTTCCACACCGTTTCTCCATCTGGGTCCCTGATATCCCAGCACCCAATTCACCACCTCTTCCCTCTTCCCGCCCACGCGCCATCACGTGCCCACGCGTACGTCCGCGCCAACACATCCGTGTTTCCCGCCTGGCTCAGGGAGGTCCCGTTGTCTTCGAAGGTGAAGGTCTCGGCCACGGGCAGCGGTTCGGAAATGCCGGAGGATTCCACCAGGGCGTAGTCGAACTGCTCCTGATGAGCGATACTGCGACAGCTGTGCGAGCGCGAGAGATGGCTGTGCGATAGCTGTGCGATGAACAGCAATTGAGAGGGAAGGAGAAAAGAAGGAGCGGAAGGGGGCGAGGTCAGTGGTGAAGAGCATACGGTACCATATACAACCATTTGATTGACATATTTTGGGTCGTGTCATGTAGTGTCTACATTCAGGGCAAACTAGGGTCCCACAGTTTGAAGCGGCATCACGCTGGATACTTCAGTTCTTCTGGGCATGGAACTGCCGTGGTCGGGACCAACGGATATCTACACCCCATCTTGCCGGATGAGCATCCAGAATCAATTGTGCCAAGATAGATTGCAAAGGATTTGGCTCAAAAGGATCAACCCAAGAATGCCTACAGTGTATACAGCTTCCACACCGCCCACGTGCCCGAGTATCGCGTCCTCTTTGGCCAACGATCTCAATCCAAGCAGTAGATCCTCACGGAGGGTGCAGCAAATGCAACCATTGGAGAGTTCAATCATCTGCTCGTCTTGACGGAGCAACTTGGCTCCATCCAGCTGTATGGCGTCCACGTTCACCGAGGCCATGTCATTTACGATGACAGCGATCTTTAAACCCTCGCGGTTTCCCAGCAAATGGTGCAGCAAGGTGGATTTGCCCGCGCCCAGGAAGCCTGAAAGCACCGTCACCGGAAGCTTTCGAGTAGGCGTGGACAGCGTGGACAGCTCGATGGCGCTCTTGAAGTCCGCCTCAGGCGGCTTCATGCTCGGAAGGCTCAAGATGCTCTCGGTCCACTCCTGTCCAAACACGCCCCCATGCTCGATGGGAAGGACACCTGCCGCTGCTGCATTGGCCAAGACCAACGCCGCAGTGTGCAGAGCGCGGACCTCATTAGGTCGCTGGCTCAAAGCATGCAGAGCTCTGGGCCAAGTGTACCAATCATAGAGATCCTCGTGGTCTGAAACGTCATACTCCTCCAAAGGGCCTGCTGGTGGATGGACAGCTCTGAAGCAAATCATGTCTATACGGTTGCCATGGCTTCCATAAAGAGCTATAGGAGGCACTGGAAGTTGATCTATCTCCGAGCCTTCTACCTCACAGAACTCTTCCACAGAGCGGAAGGCTGTCCGTATCACTTCCTCATCTGCCCCGGCTTCGATGGAGGGAATGCGCATGCCCTGCCATTGTGGTGGGCTGCCCAAGCTTCTGATCAGAATGCAGCGATTGCCACGAACAACGAAGGCCGCCACTTCGTTCGCTTGGGCAGTTACATCCTCTGGACCGTTTTCCACTGGCGTCTCATCCAAATCCACCATTGAAGTGATATCTTCCAAGTCAGCCCTGAGCTGTTTGCTTCGGGGATCCACCTCAATGGTCAATTGACTCACAAACATCACTTCTCCCAGCTCCTCGTTCACCGCGCCGTCTTCCTTCACCTCCTCGCCTCCGCCCAGGCCGCGCGCCAGGGCGGTGGTGAGGTCCTCGCAGACGGCGTGCGTCACGGCGCGGAAGGCGCCCTGCAGGGCGACGAGGCGCTTCTGCTGTGTGAGTTCGGAGTCGAAGATCACCTGGAGGCTTTCGGAGAGCTGCGACTTCACGGTGAGCGTGTGGTTCACACAGGACGCGGGCAGGCGTGGATGAATCAAGACTAAGCGCTGCACGGCACCAGGGAGCAAACGAGAACTACACAGTAACTTCAAGGCCAGCTGTGCGGTTCCCTCTGGGGCGACTAAGGTGGCGCCATGTAAACAAAGCCGTTCCAGGGCCCGCGCGGCTTTGGTGGCGATGCCTTTCTGGAGCTTCTCAGCTGCGCCTTCATCGTCCAGCACTTTGGCAATGGATTCGGACATGCCAGCGCAGGTGGGATACAAGTCCAGCAAAATGACAGCACGTGGCACGGAGGTGCCGCTTCTTCCAAAGAGTTGCTTCATCTGCGCCAGCACTTCTTTGCATGCTTGGAGCTTGTCTTCAGTGATCTCTGACTTTTCGGGAAGATGGAGCAGCACAAGAATCTCCCCTTTCTCCGGGGACGCTCCAATCAGGTTGGCTTTCGGTGGGCCATAGCCCCTGCTAAACACAAAATAGCGTGGTCGGTCCCAGCTCTCTTTCTCGCTGGGCACCACTTTCGCTTTGCGCGACATGTGAGGCGTGGCTTCCCCAGCTGAACCAAATTGGCTTCAAGCGGCGCAAAAGCACAGTCTATACAGACGGCAAAAGATGTGATTCTATATGGTGTTCGGGCTCCAGGTCTTGACCAATCCCATCCAATCCCCATATCATGGAAAGGACTCTGTATGTGAGATCAGCGTTGCTGTTGTCCTTTCCTTTGCAAAAAGTCTGGTCATTCCTTCAGGACATACAAAGATGTACCAAGTTCCTTTCCTACTCTGAGCTTTGGGAGATCCCTGAACCCTCCCCCCAAAACAATGGACCCACTTCACATCAAACAAAGCAAAGAACATCCAGGACATCCCCCCCAAAAGAAGACAACTCTCCAAGTCAGCCCTTGTTTCTTTCGCCCGCTGAAACGGGAGCCTGGAGCCTCTCTTCGTCCACCGCCGCGACTCGGTGCAGCGGTGTCAGAACCGGAGCGAGGATCCGGGCGAGGTGGTTGAGGGGGTGTTTTGGGCCACACGGCGTTCGGCGTGGGCGCTTGGCACCAGCTAAGATGGCGTGCCGGTGGTTTGGTAGAAGCTAAAAGGGGTACACTAAGGTCACAAAATGTTGAGAGATAGCACAGATTTGGTGGGCAAGAAGCCTAGTAGATCCTCCGAGAGTGGAGATTCGCCCTGCAGCGGCACTAGACCACACACAGGCGCCTTCTTTCTACGTTTGAAGCCAAAAAGAACAATAGCTTCAAGGAAAACAAGCCAACCCCTCCCCAAGGTCTTTTGGAGCGCGATTGGGATGGCCAAATGGTTTGGAATGGACCTTTTTTCCAATATATCTCAAAGCTTTCTTGGGAGAGGTGAAAACTCCTCAAAACCCATTCAATAGGGTGGTGCTGGTGCTTTTGTCGGAAAAGAATGTAGTCAACTTCAATCAAAAAAGTGTTGTCAGCTGGGGATATGGCTATGGGATGCTACGGATCAAGGGCAAACAACAAGAACAAGACATCCAAGCAAAATCAGCAAAAGTGTTCAATATGTTGTCCTTCCATGTTGGAGTCAAAGCTTTCTGTCCTCTTCACCGTGGACGAAATAGCAAAAAAAGAACGACTTTCACGATAAAACCAACCGAGCCATGGTTTTGCATGGCCTCTCTTGTTCTTTCAGACCCACCCGACTCAAGCTGGCCCTTTTGTTGTGGTTCCTGGCAACAAGTCTGGGCAACGCCACCGAGCCACCAGCGAGGGCGGCTGTTCAAACAACCTCGGAAAGACTCGACGAAACCCTCCACTTGCTTTCTTCTGCGAGTTCTGGCACTCGTGCATCCATGCATACAACAAGTTCCAAGTCCTGCACCACCTTTACAAACCAAAAACACAAAACGCTCATCCACCGGCGTTTCATAGAGCCCACAAATGGTGCCATGTCGCTAGGTGCCCCGGCCTCACTGTTCATCATCTGCTCTGAATGGGACGGTCCTCAGGGCTCAGCCAGAAGACTTTGGTCATGTCATGTCATTGAGCAATGCCCTAGAGGATGCCAAAGGTAGATGGTTAAAAGTGCAGGTTTTAGTTGCCATATTTAAGATGCCATAGGTGTGATTATTTTGCAACTTTACAAAGGCAAACCTTGCACTTTTTGCACGAAGACCCGTGTCCAAGTCCGGTATCTCCAGTGGACCATTCTTTGTCAAGCATCTCGGTGCATCTCGGTGCGATGGGGCGAGGTCTTCCTCACTCCCCAAACACCGAAAAAGCACGAGGGTCGGCTCTCTTTCGGTCTGCTCAAGTAGACACTTGGTCGGCTCTCTCTCTCTCTCTCTCTCTCTCTCTCTTTCGGTCCTTCTAGCGAGGACGTTCACCTCCCAACGGCTCCGCGGAGCTGCTCCGCGGAAGCGCGGAAGCAAGCGCGGAAGCAAGTGTGGTGGCGCCCGCGGAGGGAAGGGCACCATGGAGGCTGACCACGCACAGTCGAGCAAATCAGATATGTCGAGGAGTCGAGTGCTGTGTCTACATTGATGTTCACTGCGACCCTTCAGTGATGTGTCTTGGATGGGTAACATGCAATCAACGGCCTGATCTTGCTGCACGGAATCTGGCTATCAGCAGGATGGAGGTGGTCTGTTGGTGCATGAAAATGCATAAAATGAAGGTCGAAATTGCTGGCATCCTTCGCATCTTTGCTGTCTTCAAACGCAAACCCCGTAAGATTTGTGCCCTGTTCAAATTGCAAGCCTTTGCTGAAGCCAAAAGGCGTTGCAATGCCTTTATCATCAACAGTTCCATCTTCAAACCTGTCCGTTCACCCTTTGACTGGTTGGATGAACAGCAATGATACCTAAGGCAAAACCAACGGCAAACCCCGCGCCAGCAGCATCATGGAAGCCTTTCTTTCCAACCCAAAGGGTCGCGATCGCAAAAACATCCAGCTGGCACCGCGGCGGCACCGCAGCGGCCAGCGGGCAGCGGCCAGCGAATGGGCGCAGTCGGACTCCAGGAGCAGCGTCTTTCTTTTAGACCTTCCAAATCTTCCGCCGTCCGCGTGCTCTTCAGCCCGAGCCAAATCTTCATCTTCATCGCGGACATCGAGTCTCGGCCGGGCACGCCGTGGTCAGGGGCTTTCAAGCCTCGGTGGTCAGGGGTCAGAAGCCAATGGCCAAAGAACAAAGGTGACCTTTGTCGATTGTGGTTACGTGGATGGCACCAGGATGTAGAGCAGAAGGCATCTCCAGATGTCTCAAGAACCATGTGCCAGGGTCATGGCCAGTAGGTGTTCCAAAACATCTTCTTAGCATGTTCTGACCATCTTTGGACAGTTGAAGACATGATGAGATATGAAGCATGCTGAACCGGAGGGGCTGGAGGTCCAAACCAGGAATGATAAGACACTTTTCGATATGATGAACCAAAGCATTGCGCTGTGGGATCAGGCGAACAAAGAACATTGCATAAAAGCACGTGAAAGAAACACTCAACATTCTGTTCAATCCCCGTCTCACATTGCACAAAAATGCTAACTAACCACCTCATATCTCCACAAGTCCATCCATTTCCCCCTCCCCAACATCCCAAAAAACTCAGAAGACTCCCACTCTCTCCCCACCCGCCCTGCCCAGCGGCGTGCCGGCGCTGTCCACCTCCTGTCGCTGCTGCGACTGCGCGCTGTGGAGCCGCAGCTTCGTGCCGCTCTGCGTCCTCCAACCGATGAGCGCCTCGGGTCGCGGGGTCGAGAGAGGTCTCGATAGCGAATGGGAATAGCCCGTGAAAAGGAAAATCGAAAACAAACAAACTACAAACAACAGTTGCTCAAGGTATAGCCCGTCTGTGTTTCAGCTTAACCTCTATGCTTCTGATTGAGGTACAAATGAACCCTCATGAATCCTCTTCTCTGCCCATCCCTCACGTTGGGTCCGTCTTCGCTGCTTCCACAGCACCAGCTTCACAGCTCCCTCTACGGAGATCCTCCGAGCGTCCACCTGCGTCGAACGAACCGGTTCAATTGCGTCCGGTGATGCCACGGGGGCCGCGTTTGTGCGGCGCGGGACCGTTTTTGGGGGGTTTGGATTACAGTAGTACGTTGTTTTTTCATGGGGTTTGGCGGGCGCTTGCTTTTCGCGTTGGTTGGCTAAGCCCTAAGTGGAAATGGTTACGTTACCACATATACCAAGACACCCCAAGGGGTCACCAATTATTTTTTTTTGATGATGCTAAGGGGTCATAATTGGACACCCCTTAAGAAACCAAACATGACATCCACAAAAAATAGGCCTTCCCTCTCCAAACACCCATCCCGCTGCTGGGCGGCCTGTGCAACATCAGCTTTTGCAACAGAGGTGGTTCCGGCATGTTTCCGCAATGGGAGGGAAGTCGAAAGGAGACAACACATGGATCTATGGTATGATCATAGGTAACATCTCACTTCTCACCCATTTGCCTCAACCAACGGCAGCAAACATATGCTGCATACCTGTCCAGGCATTGTCTGCCAAGACCCAAAGGGTGGCTTCGCTTAGCGAGTCCCTTAATCTTGCCGATGTAATCCTCATCAGCATAGCAGCTTACCACCATCGGGTTCAACCATTGCGCAGCATCGGATACTAGATGTTCTAGCCTTAGGTCGGAGTCACGTCCACACACAAGTCAATTGAGGTTGCATCAAGCCTAAACCAACAATTGGTACCAAGAAACTTGTGCATTTTCGGCCTGACTTTCCATAACATTCTTTTCTGTTCAATGGCCTCCACAGCCAATCCTGAATATACAAGAAAAGGTTTTAAGAGCCAAGTGGAGCTAGCAGCTAGCTGTCAAGTACAACAAGAGCCAAGATTCGATTGTGCGCAGATCTGAAAAGGAAATGTGATCGCTGAAGTGCAGCCAGGTTTTGTCGAGGCAAGATGATGGGATATCTTCCACAATTCTTCGGGGAGATTGCTTCCCTCATCAAAACCAGATTCACAAAAATTGCTGCGCGGAGCCTTGGCACATACCAGCTAGCAAAGTCCAGGAACACTTTGTAAGTTGACAACACACGACCACAAATAAAACAAGTGACGCCGCATGTTCATTGGTTGGATCATCTGCGGCTATCTTCAGACAAATGCCCTTCAACCATATTGCAAGCACCCCAGATTCCTCACATTACAAACACAGACACTGAAAATCGCGTGTGCTGGTGTACGAGAGTACGCATACCAAGGGTCGGCCCCATTGAAGTGCTTTTGCACCAATGTTGGAAAGTTTCCCAGCCCGAGGGGATACATCGACTTCCTGAGATGATATCCAGCGTGCAGTGAAAGTTGCACCCCACAAGATGAAAACACCTGTACTATACACAGTGACCATACGCTTGCTAAGGTTCACATTGAACAGTTGTCCCCGGTTGCCTGCACTCTTCAGACAACTACAGAAACAACAAATGCGAATCATAGCTTCATGGTAAAAAGCCAGGTCACGGACTCCGTGTTGTCTACAGGCCCGGGCGAAGTCTACAAAGGCAAGCCGAAGACGCTCATCTTGGGATTGGCCACACCAGATCAATGATGTCTCAGTGATCTCGATCAAAGCCTTTGTTGGGGCCACATGGCAGGTGAGAGAAATGCACAGGCACAGAAAAACACATCAAGTTTATTGCTCCATTTATTCAAATTGCTGATGCAGCCGCCTCCGGAACTATGGCAAGGTCTACCAGGTGAAGCCAGTCCAACAACAAACACTGGACATGAAAGCCCGGCAAACGGACCCATGGTCCATTCCGACAGCCAGTCGTTAGGAAGCCTCCTGGCTTTTGACTGTCATTCGATGGGGGGCAGCAGGACCAAACTTGGTGTATATCAGGTTTCCTGAAGATGAAGCATCACAAAAGGCACAGACACCATGGCTGACCCATGATTGCACCAATTTCAGCGATCTTTGGGCGTATTTCTCATCGCCCTTAAAACAGACCAGCACACCCTTCCAAGGGCCAGCTACAGCTCCCTTCCAGCCCCCCTCAAAAGGCACGCCGTACGGGTCGCAGTCCAAGAACTTGCCCAATTGTAGTTCCAAAAGGGACCACACCATCCATTGGTCCAATGTATCATATGTCTCTGTCAAAGCCCGCTGAACATCCATCACATAGCACACAAATTTTGAGTCCCATGGTGAGGCCGATACCACCAAGGAGCTCACTGTCGTGACACAGAAAGATCGCCTCCTGTGGGCGTCTGCTTCATCTCCATGAAAAGCCAACGGAATAACTCTTGAGAGATCCGTTTCCTTATGAACAACATTTCACAAAGTATACCATGTGTTCACGCCCCAAGAAGACACACAAGGCATACCTCGAGTGAAGGCACTGGATCACTTAGAACTGGATGCTGCTTGACGAAATCAGAATCCTTCATATGATGCCAGAAGGCCTCAATAGCCTTAGGTCCAAATAACAAAAGCTCGGAATTAATGCAAAGCAAACATCCAGGTCCAGGACACATGAAAGCTGCCTGCCCAAGGCACACCTGGAGGACCCAATAGGCGATCCGTAAACAAAATCTCATCATAATGATAAAGATGGTGGATTCTTAGTTCATGCCACCATGACACAATTCAGTGCTAGAAAACAAGATGGGTGTCAATTCTCCAAGTGTTTGACCAGGAGCATGTCTGAAGGGAGAAAGACATGCCACGTCTCAATGTAGTGGGGCTCCACCCTTGATCGATCCAAGAGGACTACATCGATCCTGGACAATGGACCGTACCAATCAAACTCAAACCCAGAAAATGGACCCTGCAACTTTTCTGTGAACAATGGACGGATTTGTTGAAAGCCAACAAAAAGCTAAGAGTCTCTTTGGCAAGAGGAAGCATTTTCCTCCAACTTTGCTTGCGCAGCCACCTCCAAAATCTGGTTGCAGCATGATCAGGGTCGGACTTAAGATCGCACAGTTGCTTCAAATTGCTCCTCGAAGAACAACCACTGGAAGCGACAAACCCGATTCCCAAATGTTCCACTGGACGCAAAGCCTGCCAAGTGACGGGAGATGCTTTCCTGGTATCCTCTTTCGCAGCACTTTGCATAGAGATACCAATGTATTTGTCGCCACCTCACCAAATTCAAGATCTTCCCACATCATACCAACAAGCCCTTGACAGAACACATTAGGAGAGCATGTGCACTCCCAGGCACATCACGGGTAAGCTCGAGAAATTCTTCCACAATATCCATGCAATCCAGCGTTGGTCTTCAAGCTGGACATCCCAAAAGTATATGTGTGGTTGATGTTCCCTGAAGTGCTAAGAGACTGTATACAAGGTTGCCCGTGCATGATTTCATGCGGCTTTCCCTTAGTCTTTCCCTTTTCAATAGTGGCAGATGAACCAGTAGTAAAGCGAAAACTGACACTTGGTTGAAAAGGGGCCCAGTGTGCGATGACAATGTTTCGAATGGAACATGCACCAGTGAAGAAAACACAGTTGACTGTTAACAATTCGAGGCCTTGTGCAAGTACAACTTTTCTCCATGGTTCCATGGATCTCGATGGCTAGTGGTCAGTGTTGGCATATCCAACAGCCACCACACACATCCAGCCAGGATCGAGCTGCGCTATTTTGGCAACCCATTGGCCCGGCAAGCCCAGTGATCCCATCGCTAAGTTTCGGAGACCATCGCTAATCGGGGTGCACCAGGTAATTGTTTCTTGAACAGGGGTCACCTTTTCCTAGCATCCAAAGAACTCAGAGGTTGACCACCAAAAAGGAACCCCAAGGCTTGGGTCTCGACAATGCTCTTGCAGGTGTTGCAAGGCATTAAGTTGAAGCACGACCAGGGAGAACAACAAAGGTTCCGATAATATATTATCATTGCAACGAGTGTAGTATTGTGCAAAATATGTGTTTTTTCCCCAAATCCCTGGGTGCTTGCTTTGAACCCCTAATCGGAACGACCATCATCGCTCCCACAAGAACCATCAGCCTTTGCTTTTTTCTTTTTGGGTTTGGCTGCGACCACTCGACGCTTTGCATCTTTCAAATCGGAATCCACGGGCTTACATTTTTCTTTCAACATGTTGACCATCCCCAGCAAGTCCTCAGGGTCCACCTGGCTCAGTGGTACCTGCAGCCGGTCTTGAGAGTCAGCGTACAACTTCTCGACCTTGGGCATGTGATCCTTCAAGCATTCCACCTGAGATTACAAAGTGTTTCTTTTTGTAACATTTCATTGTTAAGGCATGGGAGGGTCAAGAAGCCCAAGAAGCCACACAAAATGCCAACAAGGCACAAGTTCTGCAGAGTTCCTCACATTGTGTTCTTTCATATCCAACTGCACAGCTGTGAGGTCATTGATAATTCCCTTCAACCTCGGAGAACCCGTCGAGTCTCGAGTATTGGTGTGTACAATGTGGTCTATCAACATTGAGGCCCAAAACAATATGGATGAGAAAACTATTTGCATGGTGAGAATCTTTTTGTCGATCTTTTTCAGTTCTCCCATGGCTTCTTCTGCCGGAGATTTTTCTTTCTTTGGTTTCTTCACTTTTATTGCTCCGGTTTTGAGATCCATGAAGGAGACATCATCGTTCATGAGATTCCCAAGTTGCTTTTTCAGAAGGTCTTTGTGTGCACTTTCTCGGACCCTTCCTGATAGCTTCACCTTAGATCATACCATCCCATTGGTTCTGCGGTGAAATGGAATCTGTTGGTTGAACTGTCAGCAAGAGTGTTTATTTCAACAAGTCACACCACTTTCTGTTGACTGCCCAGTCGTCTTGTCTTCTACCACCTCCTTCAGCACTTTGTATAAACGTGCTTTCTTGATGTTTGGTGCCTGTGGATGAGGCACACCTTGTTGACCTAGACAGCCACAATACAGGAAAACAAGATTTGGTGAAGAGCAGGTTGATCAACACCATGCTTACTGATTGATATTCGAGGCACCAGTGATGAGCTGTTCGATGAACTCTGTTGCCTCTTTGCTTGTTCCAAATAGCTTCTCTAGCTGGAAGACTGTAACCTAGGACGCACAGATCCAATTAGATGTCAAAAAACTAGCAATTGAAAACAACCTCATACGAACACAACTCACAGAATAGGAATGGGGACCCCACGGTCACGTACCGGTCTGTCCGGAGATTGGCCACCCAGCTTCGGTATTTCTCTTCCACCTCTATCGAGTCGAGGTCTGGATTTTGCAGCCAAGCCTTCAGCATACAGAACCTCAGATACGCCGTGCCTTGGCCTCAACAAACATGATGGGCCAAGTGATGGGTGATACTCAGGGGCTCACCATATGTTCACCACAAACCATTTAGCCCAGCTACCGCTCTTTGTCACTGCATAGCCCAAACTTGGCAACCAGGGCTGGTGGGGCATCTCGGGCAATCGCACGTCGAAGGGCAGAGTATTGGCGTTTGCGCTCCTAAGTGGGGGAAAGCAAAACATGGAGCCAGCCAGACAGATAAGTACCACAAGAACCAGGGGCAGCCAAGGCTCACCTCGGTCCATATCACTCGGCTTTTGCATGTCAGCCACAGCCTTCTTCTGGTCGTCGGACAAATCAACTTGTCGTTTCTGTCTTGAACCAGAGGAACTAGATATAGTAGTGGAGAGTGGTGTCGATGAAGACGATCTCTCCCCAGGAGAATCCTAGATGGTAGACAGGTCCAGGCCACAAAGATGATAAAGGGATACTGAACCTAAACATACCAAAACCAAACCTTGGGACTTGAAGGGAGCAGTTCACCGCTTTCAAACGAGCATCAAAGTTCAGCTTCTTGGGATCCGGGGATGCCAGATCCATCAAGGCGGTGATACTTTCGATGGTTCCTTGCCTCTCAACCAAATTCTCCTGAGGCATTCAAGAGTCAAGCGCCCAAAACATTCAAGAAAGGGCTTGTTTCGTCCTACTATATTATATCACGTTTTTTGCATTTCATGAGAAATGTTAAAACCATATGGTTTGAACCCAGGAACCCAAAGAAGCCAACCACACCTGGCTTCGAGCTTTCTTGGTGTTCACCTCTGGCTGTGGTTCTCCTTCACGCTTTTCACCGGCTCCTCTTTCTTTTGGCTCCTCGAAGTGCTGCTCCTTGGACGTTTTCTTCCTTTTCTTTTGGGCTATCTCCTTCTCCTGAACCTCAGGCCCATCCTCCTTCTCCACATTGCTCTTGGCCTTGCCCTCGTCATCCACCTTCTTGCTAACATTATTCTTTCTTTTTTTGTCTTTCTTCTCTGGGTCATCTTTTGTCACATCACTTCCCTTGGTGGTATCCTCTTTCTTCGCTTTCTTTTCTTTACCTCCGTCCTCATGCTTCTTGGACTCCTCATTGGGCATCTGGCTGCCATTGCTTACATCCTCCTGCATTTCTTTCTTCTTCTTCTTCTTCCCTGAATCCTCCGGTTTCTCCTCAATCTTCTTTGGCTCTGCTGGGGACGTGTCTTTCGTATCTTTCTTCACCTTCTGCTTCTTCTCTTCTGGCTTCGTCTCTTCTGGCTTCTTCTCTTCTGGTGCCGCATTTGCCTTCTCATGTTTCTCCTCCTTCTCAGTTTGTTCCTTCTTTCTTTTACCTCCGTCCTCATGCTTCTTGGACTTCTCCTTGGTCTTCTGGTTGTCCTTGCTTACATCCTTCTGCTTCTCTTTCTCATTCCCGCCTGAATCCTTTGGTTTCGCCTCAGTCTTCTTTGGCTCAATTGGTGGCGTGTCTTCCTTCACCTTTTGCTTCTTCTCTTCAGGCTTGTTCTCTTCAGACTTCTGTTCTTCAGGCTTATCTTCAAGCTTCTCTTTTGGTTTATCTTCTGGCTTCTTCTCTTCTGGTTTCTTATTTGCCTTCTCAGTCTCCTCCTTCTTCTCAGGTTTGTTCTTCTTGCCTTGACCTCCGTCCTCCAGTTTCTTGGACTCCTCCGTGGTTTTCTGGGTCGAGTGTCATTCCTTTTCATTCCTTCTTTCTCAGCTCTTTTGGCAGCTCGACGCTCATGGATTTTCTTCTCTATCCTGGCACCTTCATCACTTAGGCGTTCGAGCTCTTTCACGGAAACGCCCTCACTCTTCTTTTCTTTAAGAGCAGCATGGGCTGTTTGCTCATCGGTCTTCTTTCCTGGATCCTCTGGTTTCTCCTGAGTCTTCCTTTGTTCCACTGATGAGGTGTCTTGCTTCACCTTGCGTTTCTTCTCTTCTGGCTTCTTCTCTTCTGGCTTCTCTTTTGGCTTCTTCTCTTCTGGCTTCTCTCCTGGTTTCTTCTCTTCTGCCTTCGTTTCTTCTGGCTTCTTCTCTTCGGGTTTCTTATTTGCTTTATCTTCCTTATCGTTTTGTTCATTCTTTCTTTTGCATCCGTCCTCATCCTTCTTGGACTCCTCCATGGTCTTCTGGCTGTCCTTGCTTACATCTTGATGTGTGTTTTTCTCCTTCTTCGCTGAATTCTTTGGATTCTCATCAGGTTGGCGAAGTGTCTTTCTTCACCTTGTGCTTCTTCTCTTCAGGTGTCTTCTCAGGCTTCTTCTCTTCAGGCTTCTTCTCTTCAGGCTTCTTCTCGTCTGGCT